AAGATTTTATTTATTTATTTGACAGAGAGAGACACAGTGAAAGAGGGAACACAAGCAGGGGGAGTGGGAGAGGGAGAAGCAGGCTTCCCGAGGGCTTGATGCGGGGCTTGATCCCTGGACCCTGGGATCATGACCTGAGCCCAAGGCAGACGCCTAACGACTGAGCCACCCAGGTGCCCTGACATATACATTGTTTAAAGCAAAATTATCAAGTGAAGATTAGTGCAACCACCACCTAGGTTAAGAGTTGAACACTGCCAACACCCAGAAGCCTAACATGTGTCCGGATCATCAGTTCCCTCTCTGAGCCAACCACTAGCTTGATTGTTTCGTTTTTGTTATATGACTCAGACTATGGCAAACAGTTCATCCTGCTAAAAACAACAAAAATGTTGGTAAAATATTGAAGAGTCAACAAGAAGATAGGTAAATATCAGACTAAAATCTAGGTAAAGGCAGGATCTAGAGAATAAGTGGAGTAATGATGTCACTTTTACCCTGGGGCATGTTCCTTAATTGGCAATTTAAGCTTGGTTTTTCTAGTCCTTAAGGGCCACGTGGGTCAGAAGACAAAGCCCAGGGCCTGGTGGATGTGGCAAGTCTAAAGCTGGGACCGCAAAGGGCTACAGTTTCAGTGTAAGGGTAAATTATCAATAAATAGACCATTCAACAGACTGAATGGAAAGAATGTTGTCTTGGAAGGAGGAGATTGAGGAGAACTGTAGAGGGGGCACTGGACGCATAAGACAGCCCTCCCAGAGATATGTAACCCAATACACATCTCCTGGTGATTTAAAAAAAATTCCAAACAGTGAATATACCCTAAAGTGGTCCCTCTGGGCAGAAGGAAAAGCAAATCCTCTCTGGAGGAATGAACCTTTATCCTAGGCCTCAAAGAATTCCCACAAATAATTTTCCAAGTAAAATGCTGCTCACAGTAAAAAATAAGCACATGAAGAATGAAAATGAATAAAAACAAGCAACAACAGGGGCACCTGAGTGGCTCAGTCATTCGGCTTCTGCCTTTGGCTCGGTCATGATCCCAGGGTCCTGGGATACAGCCCTGCATTGGGCTTCTGGCTCCGCGGGAAGCCTGCTTCTCCCTCTCCCACTCCCCCTGCTTGTGTTCCCTCTCTCGCTGTCTCTCTCTCTGTCAAATAAATAATAAAATCTTAGAAAAAAAAAGGCAACAACACAGAAATGGGTCTCATAATTCCAATTATCTGTTAAATAAAAACTATTTTTTCCATTATTATTGACATATTTGCACTTACATAGTAAAAAACTTCAAGAATATAAATTTGTTTTGGGGCGCCTGGCTGGCTCAGTCTATGGAGTGTGCGATTCTTGATCTCAGGGTTGTGGGTTCGAGCCCCACATTGGGTGTAGAGATTACTTAAAAATAAAATAAAATAAAAAGTACAGGGGTGCCTGGGTGGTTCAGTTGTTTGAACGTCCGACTCTTGGTTTTGGCTCAGGTCATGATCTCAGGGTCTTAGGGTCGTGGGATCCAGCCCTTCATCTGGCTTTGCCATCAGTGCGGAGTCTGCTCGAGATTTTCTCTCCCTCTCCCTCTGCCCCTTCCCCTTTCCCCCCCTGCTCTTTATCTTTGTCTCTCTCTCTTGCTCTCTAAAATAAATCTTTAAAAAAAGAGTACAAATGGCGTGCCTGGGTGGCTCAGTTGATTAAGCATCTGCCTTTGCTCAGGTCATAGTTCCGGAGTCCTGGGATTGAGCCCCGTGTTGGGCTCCCTGCTTAGCGGGGAGTCTGCTTCTCCCTCTCCCTGGGACACTCCATCTGCTTGTGCTCTCTCACTCTCTGTCAAATAAATAAAATCTTAAAAAAAAGTACAAATGGATTTATTTTTATTTATTTATTTTTTTAAAGATTTTATTTATTTATTTGACAGAGAGATAGTC